ATTTCTTTTTTCCTCTGCACTGGAGATAAAAAGAAGGAACACATTCTAGTATTCCCTGCTCATTTTCATGGCCATTCTTGCACCTGTAACTCAAATAATGAAGCCATTTGTTATTTATATTGCACTTTCCCCTCCATTCTAGATTTCTAACGATCTGACCCTGTTTTATGGCCCTGACAAAGCCTGAAACTGGTGCGGACTTCCAATAATTGAACGATATAGGGAAAAATCTTTAGCTGGAATGAAGCAGATGTTAGCTTCATGCAGTCCCCTAACTTGATTATTCTTTGGACACGTTAGACAAGCATTAGTGATTGATAATGACGCTAATTAACCCCTTTCCTTTCCAAAACAGCGAACCAATGCCAGCAGGATTCTGTAAACACCACAGACCGAGTACGGCGTATATCAGTATCCCTTCAAAGTGGACGAGTGACACAACTTCACTGCCTGGTGCTCGACAAAAACCTTCTCCCGCCGCCACCGCCCTGGCTCCAAATCCGCTCGAGGAGTTAACAGCTCCCGCTGCTTGCAGGGCCGGGAGCAGAGGCAGAATCGGGGCAGAATCAGAGGCACCATTTATTTTCTACGCTCCCGACCTTCCGCCTTTGATTATCAAGCCGGTTCGCACCACCCTGCCCTCGCGAGCTGGGATGGGCTTCAGGCTGCTCCCCGTCGGAAGGGCGCTTGTTATTTTAGCTACACTTTGCGAACGCGAGGGCTTGGCACTCGGGGAATCTGGTCTGGGCTGAGGCGTGCACTGCACCGAGGAGGGAAAGGGAAGTGCACATTCTGGAATTTAAATGCCAGGCAGAAGACGAGTAAACAAACAAGGAGCTGATCTGATTACGCAGTCGAATTTATCATGGGCAATAAAGAAATCGCCTTTAAATGTAAGGGTTCGGATAAATGAATACTCCTAGCAAGTGAATAAAATGTATTCAATTAACTAAAAACCTCGTGCACTTCTGAACTGAAGTGGAATCGACTGTAATTGATTTATTTGAAACCAGAGGTTAAGGACTGAATTAGCTAAGTACAACTGGGTATTTCAAGCCACTGACTTCTCAAATGTCAAATCCCTTCTATTTTAAATATTATTTCAGCTGCGGGGCATTGCTGTCCTGATGGCTGTTCCACCAGTTAAATCTCAAATTATATTAATATTCGATTTTTGGAGGAGGGTGGCGTAAATTGCGGTACAAAGAGGAGGGCTGTCCTTGTTCACGGTGAAAAGAGCACCAAGCCGTATTTTGGTTCACATGTAGGAATGAGCTTAGCGTGGCAGCAACGGTCTAGCGTTCAGCCACCGCTCACCCTCCTTTCAGCCAATCTGGGGGGGGAAGAGAGGAGGGGGTGTTGAATTGTTGTTATTCAACAGCAGATTTTTGTTTAGTGTATAAAAGCACGACCTAGAATTTCACTGCTGCGCCTTGATCGCACCGTTAAAAAAAAAACCCGCATCCCAAGAACGCTAAAGTAATTAGCACGTTTTAGTAACTGCGCGTTGGTCACAGCAGAAGAGGCTGAAGTGGAGCCAGTCTGCTTTCCATTATCGCCTGTAAAATCCTTCCCTAGAAATAACAGTAATGAAGAAATCTATGCAAGGTCATTGCATTGCTGTTTTCTGGTGGCTTGCTAATGCAGCAGCAGGATACTTAAAATGCGCTCTCCCAGCATAAAGTAGCTAATTATATCTTTAAAACATTATTTATTATGACCTTATAACGTTCTAGCATAAGACTGCTTTATACATTGCCCAGTATAAAGCGATTATATTTGGTACAGGTTTCAAAAAGTAACAAGCATCTGTAAATCCAGATATGAATGAATGGTATTTAATAAGATTGTTTTCGTTTAAAAATGAGTATTTATGTGTTGCTGTAGAAAGAGCAGCAATGTACTGCTGTTTATGAATGCTATTGTGCCTGAGGTTAGGATCCCACACACAATCTGAGATGCAGCCAAGAAAAACAGCCCTGATAGACAATGCTTCACTTCACCTGCTACAATACTGTGCATTTCATTTATGTCAAGAATATGTACAGTTAGGGTTCATTCACCTCATTATTTTGTTACATCTACTTTACAGTTAACCAGTCTCTCTTGGAAATAATAAATAACTGTTTTTAAAACAATTGCAGCTTTGCATTCAAAAGATCCACTTTCAATTTATAGAAAAAAAATATTCACCATTTTTATAAACTGGCTGGCTCTCGAAAATAGAATTTAGACTCCACCAACTCTCTTTCTGCTTGGCAAGATTGATTTTACACTGCCTTCCGTAAGTAGATTACCAAAGCAAAATGAAACATCTTGGGTTTTATCTAATGCTTTGCTTCACCAGCCCTACCAAACGTCAAAATATATGAGCAAATGTTAATTCTCTTTGCAGCTTTATTGTAAACACCTCCCTCTTTAACCTCCTCAATTTCTGCCTGAGCAAAAAGGGGGGGGAAGGGGGGAGGAGAGAGAGAGAGTCAGGCAGGGAAGGAAAGAGAGAAAAATCAGCCACCACCACCAAAATATCATCAGCACTTAAAGGAGACCATCTCTTTAAAATGCCTTTACATTCTAAACTGCATTCACCTCCCTTCCTATGATATAATATAATCCAGCCTGATCCTGACTTCACCTACCCCCTGGGCCAAAGAAAATAGAGTCAAAGTCTGAATTCTCACACGTTTTTACAGCCCATCTTCAAGACCTACGCTGCTTTTTTTTTTTTTAAAAAAAAGCAAACTTCCCTATTTTACAACTGGTTTCCACAAGAAGAAACTCAAGATAAAAATTTCAGCCCCTTATAACCTGACACAACCATCTCAAAATGTCAATCTGTGCATTCCACTAAAACACAAACCATCAATCAGAAATAATCCGTCTCCTGCAAGACTTCACTAAAGTTCACAACCGTGAGCTGATGTTGTTGGCATCGACTACGGAGCTTTTCTTTTTTCTTGAGGGGGAGGGAGCACCCGGCTCTTGATTCACCAGTATCTGTGTATATATATATTTTTTTTTTTTTCATAGCACCTAATTTTCAATGTTTGCTGGGTAATGATTCTTTTCAAAATGTCCTTCTCAAGATAAGGTTCTTTTTTAATCTCCGCTCTCCGTTAGGACAACTACATGTACAAAATTTTATAGGCTCATAATTCTGCACGCTATATATAAACATAAATAAAAACCTAGAGGTCAACATAAATAAAATAAAACTTTATTTTTTTTTTTAAATAAAATTATGTTTTGGTTAAAGAAAAGGTAGTGTGTCATTTTGTTAGTAGTACAGACAATTTTTTATCCAAAAGAATACATTGTGCTTTATTGTGTCATTTGTCTGAATACAGACTCAGTGGAATATCTAAATGATACCCTGCTCTGAACTCCAAGTTGAAAGTAAGTTTTTATTATACTTGAGGGAAACAATGGGTTCAGCTGCTTATTGCAAGGAGCAATTGTCAAGGGAGAGTTAAACTCAATTACTGTAACCATACTGAATAAAAAATACTGCCAAGAACAAAAATACGCCTGGGTAAAGACAGCCACTGAATAAAAAAATCGACATAAAGCGTATCAAATATTTATTTATCTGGGCAACAAAGGACTATGATACATTGATAGGCATGGAAACTACTGCCGGCACAACTCAATACAATACAACTATAACTGTTTCCAATATGGCCAGTGGAAATACAGGATACCAGGTGGTCCCGAATGTTTGAAGTTCTTTGGAAAAAAAAAAAAAAAAAGGAGAAAAAAAAAAGAAAAGGGGAAAGAAAAAAAAAAGGGGGGGGGGGAGGAAAGAAAAGCTAAATCTTGTTTTAAAAGACAATATTAATTTATTGCTCTGATGGTGCTTTCGGGAGAAGGACAGTGGATGAAAATAACTTCTTCTTTCATTTTCCACAACACATAAGGGTTGTAAAACCACTAACATGTTTAAAAACCTTGCCAGGGTCCAACATCACTTTATTTTATCTTCAACGAGAAACTAAATGTCATACTAATTATATATAAAAATTCATGGTTTTTTATTTGTTCAGCTGCTTCATTGTCGCTTTTAACATGCTACAACAGGGCTAAAAATGATGAATCCCAGAGAAAAACCCCCAAAAAACCTCCGATATCTAAATAAGTACCATGAACCACATGATGAACTAAGAAGGGAAGATTTAAAACCCACTAAACAAGAGGTAAACGAGATCACCAGATAAATAAAAAAAGGCTTAAAACAGACTCACCATATTTACAATTCCCATTAAATTACACATAAATAAATATATACATACATGAACACTGATTCCCTTATATAATAACCGTGAATCGTGTTGCAATAGAAAGTTCAAGTTGGTCGCTTTACCTTGGACAGGAAAAAGTTCTACAACTGAAGATATGACATGGAACTGCTTGTGTTTTGTGTTCAAGTTTATTCACAATACTGATAAAACGTCATCAGTCCTTTTTGCCTTTTGTTTGTCTGCTGTTGCTGTTGTACTTTTTTCACCTTTTGTTTTTTTTTTTTTTTTTTCCTCATTTTTAATATGGCTACAATCTTAACTGAAGTTTATGTTGTAAGGGAAGGTGGTGATTCAGTCCGGTGAAGCTCATAGAATTTTTTAAGTATTATTTATTTCTTTTTGGTTTTTTTTTTATTTTTTTTATATATTTTTAGAAAAAAAAAAGTCCTTTTCTTTTTTTGTTTTGTTTTTGTTTTTTTTTTTTCCTCCTTTTGTTTTATTTAAAAAAAAGTTCACAAACTCAAGACAGAACTTTTTTTTTCTTTGCTGGCTCCGTCCCCCTGTTCTGTTCTCTTAGGCTCCAAACTGGGGTGAAACGATGGTGGCAGCGGGGAGAGGTGGGGGGGCAGAGCGGGGGT